TCCTTTGGGGGGTCTGGGTAAGTACCACGGACATGGCCGACTCGCTGCAACTCGTTCTTGCCACTTTTGATATTGCTCCAGCTTCTATCATCTACGGGTTCGCTGCCGGCTGAACTCCGGGAGCAACAGTACTGTAGGGATTGGAAGAGAGCAGCGTTCAGAAATTCATGTTCGGAAGCAGCATTCATTTTGTCACATGGACCCCAGATGGCATAGACGTTGCAAGTGATACAGCTTGGTTGAGTTTGTTCAGCAGAAAGGTTGCGGCATACGGCAGTCATCGCTCAAGCGCCCGTGGACGGGACAACGAAAGACTGAATAGGGTTTGGAGTTTCAGGGAGGACGCAGGGAGATGCATGTCACAACATTCAATAAGGACCTCTTAAAAACAAAATCTGACGCACCTCATCACCTCGGTGATTCTGAACCCTTAAGCCAAGACGGCGAGGCGACAAAGCACTTCGTCTGCAACTGCGCAACTTGCGCTCTTACGCTGGACCCTGTTCCTGGATCAAGTTTGAGTGGCATTTTGCATGTGTGTTAATAGTCCTGCGACAGGGAAAGACATTGGTCATGTTCACAATTTGCCAACACATAAGGTTCGTGGCTTCCGCTGCCTAGGCTTGGAGCACTCGTGCTTTTGAAGCATTCAGGGCTGAGATGATGCTTACGAGATATTCATCCTTTGGCGCTTTGAAGGCTCAGTGGGTTGTTCCGTCGGAGCACAAAAGGGCCAACGAGAGCCTCAGCTGTGGTCAGCTTGAACTTGGCACCCAACGTCACCAGCTGTCCGTAGGCCGCAACAGCACTTTACCCATTAGCCGAATAGCAGTGAATTGGCGGCGCCCATCGCCTACAGTCAATTCTGGTATTCTGCTGAAAAGGCAGCAAACACAGATACGGCCTCTGATGCTGCGGCACCTCGTATTTTGGGAGAACAAAACTGGGTGCTGACTTGTTTGCCCCAGCTGGGCCCACTCTTGGTTCCACCCCTGTATCCAACGAAATGATATGGTTCCTTCGGGAGGGATCGCAACAGGCAACCACAATTGAGAGAGACCCACATTTCAACGGAATCGATCAAACTTGACCTGGCTTTGTGGCTCAAGCAAATACGGACTAATTAATGCGCCTCCCAAGTGGACACCAAGCCCTCCTGGTTTCTGCGGCGACAGATCAACATGACAGGACACCTTCACCAAAACGGCGCAACTTAGCAGAGATTCGGCACATGATTACAGGAGGTTGTGCATCTGAGTCCAAATCATGTGAATATGCCCCAGAGGCAATTGCATTCTCCGTGGCAGTGGTATGCCTTGGCATCGTCGGGCTCGACTTGGACTTGAGCCATCCGGACATCGTGGGCCTGGATGACTCCTTGCCAAAGTGTGTTTGGTATTGGGCAGTCATGGGAATGTCCCTGTAAGTTGGGAGTCCTAGTGTTTTGGGGCTTTACAAGGTAGACCCGTGCACAGGTCCTAATTTCAGGGAATTGAGAAAGTACGGCATCACTCCGAATGCTGCAGCCTTCTTGCGTAGGTTTTGCTGGTTTGGCCTGCCTTCGTAGGACGAGAAGCTACAGGCCAACTAAGCCTGGTTGAATGTGCTCCAGTTTTACACTGCAAGTCAACCTCTACTCAAGTTTTCAGGGTGCCGCATCTCAGGAAGCTACATGCAGTTCTCACGGCGAGACCATCAACAAGACTGTCGCGTGCGGAGGCAATTTGACAACGTGCCTCGGCTGTTGTTGGAGAGACCAAGACCACCTTGAGTCAAAAATACGCTGATATTTTCAGAACTAGGGATCCCATCCACGGAAAACATAAACTCTGAATCCAAACTCTTGGTCCTTAAGCATAGATATCTATATATATATATACACAGAGCGGCAACAGGAATGGGTGATAAGGAATATGCTTCGGATCGGATCCTCCAGGCTTTTTGTTAGCTAGGAATGAAGGAATGGACCCTTATACTAGTCCCTATAGAACCCACCCATTATGGTAGTTTCCATTTTCTTTTTGATCCCTTTATTCCCGGCTAACCAAAGGCCAGGGAACGGGTATCAGAGGTACCGTGAGGCGGGAGAGCTGTGGAAGATTGATGGTCTGTACTACGATCTACGTCCCCTTCTCTCTTGGCATCCTGGTTCGCAATTACCATTGCACAAGACGATGGGTACGGCTGCTTGACCAACAAGAGGGCTTAGCCTGCCGGGTGTAACTGATAGGTTTAGCGCTTCGGGATGTCGGGTTTAGGCTCCGGGGTGTGGGGTGCTAACAAGCGTCCTGTCTTGGAGTCGTGGTGACCTACCTCAAAGGCCAACTATGAAAATTGTAGCTTGTGGAGAGAATCCCAAGGTTTTTATTAGCAAGTCAGGTTTTGCAATCTGCGGAAAACGCATCTTCAAATTACAGTGTTTTACAAGGAAATTATGGGTCTAGCACGGGGTAGTTACGAATTCTTCGTTTGCATACAGGACAAAAACCGGGCTTTGAATTGAAACGTCTGGTTATCGGGCAACAACTGCTTGAAACACGAGCGTTCAGCGTCCAACCTACATTTTTTTCTGTTGAAGGTTGCCTAGGTCGATCTAAACCCTAAGCATGCAAGTGTCCAAGCAGATACTGAGATGCTGGAAGGCCCAGAGTTTATGCGACATAGATGCGCGGACCCCTGTAGACCCCTCCGGGAAGGAATCGGAGGCATAGCCCTAGGCATCCCTAAAGCCCAAAGCTCCTCTTCCCACAGCTTAACGGCTGAAGCCCCGCTCGCAGGATGCGTCCACCCTCTTCCGGATTCAACATCTCTCGGAAGGGCCACGGCTGGCCTTGCAGAAATATCAGGCTTTTTGGGAGGGCTTGTGTTTTTGCTCACGCACCAATATTAGGGCAAGCCGTGAAGATGTTGATTTTGCGAAGGTTCCACGAACGAAACAGACAATGGATTCCAAGGTGTTTCAAGGCCGTTGAACCCCTGTTGCTGAGAAGGTACAGGCTCACATCCTCCGTCCAATCAAGGTCCGTTTTGAACCTCTCCTCGGACTCCTGTCTACCGACATCTAGCTTTTGATTCTGTAGCGGTAGCGGACTGAATGCAGTGAAACCAACCAAAGGATCCTTAAGCCGGTAATGCCTGGTAACACCCGGCAACCCTGAAGCCCTAAACGTCATGACGTAAAATGCCGCACGTGTCCAGGTGGCTCCAAACCTTGTCATTGGCAGCATTGATGACAGTGAGCACAGCTATTTGTTCGAGCCCGAGGGCTTCTACATGATACTTCGCCTCAGCAGTATACTGAGTTGCTGTTAAGGAGTTGAGTTTAAGCTACTACATTGGGGACACCCTTTCAAATACGATATATACCCATTATGGTAACGTAACTTAGGTTCCTGAACAGCGACCCAGTATAGGGTGTCGGGTTGGGGCTTTTGCAGGTAAGCTTGCGTAATTTGTGCTCTCTGATTGTGTGTGAATTATGGCCGCTTCCAAGGTGTGCGCAAACACAACCATATACTGGGGTTATATAGGTTTCTGCAGGGATAATGGAAAAGAAAATGGAAACTACTATGATGGTTTAAAAAGGGTTTAGGGTTTAGTGTTCCAGGAGTGAGGATTCAAGCTGCCCCTTATGTGCCCCAAGACTGGGTCGCTGTTAAGGAACTTGAATTGCGTTACCATATTATCCCCCTATAGTGGCGAATCAAATGGAAAAGGAAATTGAAACTGAAATGGAAACTGCGGGAGTGTAGGGATTGAAGGGACTTAAGTTGAGTTACCATAATGGGTATATATATATATATGTTCATTAATAGGTCTTCCCCAATGTAGTAGCTTAAACTCAGTTTCTTAAAAGCAACCCAGAAGACGGGCCTTGTGATGCGACTGCCAAATCAGGGATCCTTCGAAGCTTTCAACCCTATGTGCGGTCAGGCCCCCCACTCATGGTATGGTCCTCGGGTGGCGGGCCGGAAGGCAAGGTGAGGACAAAATTTTCTACGACTGTGAGCGTGTTCAGACCTTTGCGATCTCAAAGGTGCCAACGGTCCCAGGGACGGAGTGCCTCGAATGCTGCATCTTCGAATCTTCGCTAGCTGTAGCATCTGGCTACATCTACAAGATCCGCAAAACCCCAACGGTCATAGGGATTGTGCATGTGCCTGTTTTCAATGATTATCCTTTTGAAATCTTCCGATCACGCCAAGAAAACATTTCTTGGGAATGTTAATCCGTTTGTACTCATATACGTGCACATCTGTACATAACACTGGTATATCCGCATAAGTCCCTTATTGTCATCCTCATATCATGTGAGTTTAAGCATGCCCCACACATATCCCTAGTCTGTTCAAACCTCGACCACCCACCTTACCCCCACGCGCTAACCCAAGCGCCCGCCACAGGAGGGATGTAAGATCTTGAAATCAGCCCAAGCCTCCGAACACACACCTACAGGGGGACAGGGAGGGGCCCGTGATCCTAGGCCAGCAAGAGCATGACCATATATCGGTAAAGGGTTCCTTTATGGATATTAGCTGATACAGCGAGACCACCCGTTTTGGAAGCCGGCAGACAAGGACACTGCGCTCTCGTGTCAGTCAGCAGCTGGCAGACATGGGCGTGACCAAGCCACGACAGGCCAACGTTCCCATCCTCATGAAGATCAATTTCAACCTAGTGCTCTTTCTAGCCACCTGGTGCCTAGACAGCTGTTGAGAAACTTTTTTCTGGCAAACGCACAGTTTGTATCCTTACCAGGGATGATGGCTGACAGAAGATGTGCGATGTGAGGAGTCATGAAATCGCAAATTTGGCAAACTGATTGGGATGTAGTCTAAGCTGGCAGCATGCCCTCTAACAGCCTGCTACAGACCCAGATTGTAAGTAAAGCTTTCAGAAAAAGACCAAGGTACCAGATCAACGTTGGCTCATTCTCCCTCGTGGCATGCGTCTTGAATCTGGTTTCCCGCTTGGTTCTCACAGGCGCAGCCCACGAGGCTATGCACGGAAGTGTTATACCACAGCAACTCGGCTTTCAATTCAAAAAACCCTTTCAGTTGGTCTGCTCAAGGCATACTACGGCATGCCCTCGACGTCCGGCTTTACTACAGCGGAGACGCCTAGCCACTCTAGACCCCAACACCTCAGTCTAGGCACCTAAAGAATTCTGAGCCCTCTTACATAAGATATTGGGGTTGTTAATAGGGATAATGGAAAAGAAAATGGAAGCTACCAGCCAGGCTACCCTACACGCAGCATTTCTATGCAAAGTTAGTGGTGGAGGGCCTCCTTGGCTTTCCGCTCGAGAGCTGGTTCGGGAGCTTCTTAAAACAAGCCTCTCTGGGGTCTAAGCTTCCAGGTCATAGGGACCCCTATACTCGGTTTAGGGTTTAGGGTTTAGGGTAAGCTTCCAGGTCATAGGGACCCCTATAATCCATTCCCCATTTTTGCAAACCCCCCAGGTGGCATGAGCATGTCTTGCTACACCACCTGCATACCAAGACCGAAGCCACTGAACTGCTTTGGGATGAGGTAAATAAATCACGAGGTAACGCTTTTACTTAAATTGAAGAGTTCGAAGGAACCTTTGGGTTTAGCCTCTCCTCAGCCTCCGAAGCGGGTCCAGCATCTCAGGTGGATCCTGATGAGAACATTCATCAAGGCGTCCCGATCTGGAGATTGACGAATGCAACATCTTGGAGCAAGCTGCACTCCTTCCCTGTAACATCTCATGCCTTAGTAGGACTTCTTCACCCTCATTTACGCTGCTTTGCTGTGGAATCTTGGACGATGTGCGCAATGTGATCATATGTTATGCATTGGTTTTTGCTTGACTTTCATGGTGTGGGTGGTTATTTGCAGTTCTGCCTTTCAGGCTACTATAATTTGTAACTTGTGCATTGCTTTCAGCCACAGCAGAACAACTCAGGAATCCTGGCGCTTGCAACAAAGTGACTCCAGTGTCCGAGCAGGCGCTGAAACATGACATGGTGCCTCAGGGACCCCTTCAACCTCTGGGGAATGGGTTCCCTTCTAAAACTGCACAAAGAGATTTTTAATCCTATAGGATTAAGCTTCAGGCGAACTGCCCTGAACCCTAAAACCAGGGTAGAAGTTGGCAGGCTACGCGCTTGTAGTGATTGCCGTGCTTCTGCTGCACTGGCTGCCGCTCCCTGGTGATCTACCCAGACCCCCAAAAGTGTGTAGAATAATGCACTTTTGGCTGTTTTTGGTGGTTTTGGGCCATTATTTTACCTNNTACTTTTGGGGGTTTAGGTACTGGTTAAGAGTTCAATGCTGGAAAGCTCGCAACGCTAATGCCGTTCATGGTTTCTGCAATGGCTTGGAGCTCCATGAAGGCCTGAATCTTTGAGGTCGGGGTCTTCCGCCCAAGACCTCCAAAGATGGAGCACAAAAATGTTGGAAATATTGAGGTCTCTCAGCATTTCGGAGGGTCCAGAGTCCCAAAACACTGTGAGGCCTCATTTTCTGAATTTGGCGTCATTCTCCCACTTCCTTTGATTGAGTCGGTCCCTGATTTTCATAAATCCTTCATGTGATTCAAAGTCGGAATATTCAATTCCTTTGACTTGACTTCCTTACATAAGTCTCTCTCAAATCTGTGTCAATTTCAATGGAAATTCTCAAATCCTGGGTTCCCGTTTTGCTTTATTCGAATGCCTCAGTAGATTGGCTTCGAATTTAAAAACCTAGGGACAACCAGAAAAAAAAAGAAAAAATAACTGTTCGGTCAGGCCCTCTAGTTTGTTCGGGTTTGGGTTGTCCAGTTTCAGAA